ATGAAAATTGTTTTGATCTATTTCGCCACACAATTCTTCATTATTTTTAACTGGATCCTCTAATCTTCAAGAAAATAGCAGTTGATGTGTTCTGATGACATGTTAATGACATAAAATCTTTGATCGCTTGTCAGCAAAGTCTGCCATATTCTGTAAAGGATTCTGAAAGCGTCTGTCAGGATCCGTGAGGAGAGCGACTCCTATTGTCTACTCCTATAAGCTTCAGCACCCTTCTTAGAGGGTATTTCACAAAATGCGTGGGCTGAAGAAATTGACACTTCAGAAGATTAATAAACTTCATGAGCCTGTAAGACAAAAGGCATTGCTGTTTGTAATTCGAATAGATCTTTAAGTGAAATATGTAGGCTCAAGTAGAATCTGTGAAAAGAGTTGGTAAAGAATCTGAAGAAACATCACACAGAATATCAGAAGGATGCTGTGACAGCCATATACATCATATGCTTTTACGTATTTTGGTTCGGATAGATATCTATATTGTTCTGTTCACGTTGTTTGTTTCTTTTATTTTTTTCCCCGCATCATTTTTTCTGGGATAGAATCATTCGAGACGAAAACCATCATAGAGTAAGTAAAAAGATAGATATTTCAATACTTTGATATCGTGACCGACTTTCTTGCTGCTATCTATCCGAAGAAAATTTTTGAACCACTTTATTAATATTGACATCAAAACTACTGAAATTTGACTGACTGAACAAACGAATCCCAACATCGATTGATCATTATGGAATGCACTGTCTTCACATCGGACGTCTTTTGTTTCGACTGTGCTTACATGTATCAATATAACATGTTCATTTATCCTTGATAAATTGATTCAGAAGCGCGCCAAAACCGTCTCGAAACAACTACTGAAAGAAGTCGTTGTCGTGAAGAGCGTACACCTGCTTCATTGTATCACGGAATAAACTGTCGTTTGTTTTTTTTACTATTATGACAAGATCATGTCTATGTAGCTCACCGAGTCGATGAATAGATTAAAAACATTGCCGACATATAAGAACATCGATGTCTCAAAAAATTCTCTGGAAAAACTCGTTTCTATTCGCCGAAGTGGTTTAAACGAAGAAAATCGAGAAATCACTCGGTTGACAATGCACTCGTTGTGAATATCGGCACAACCAAGAAAAAACGCTTCTTGACCTAAAGGAATCCGAACATAATTGTTTTCTTTCTGATCAATCTCATAAAGTCGTTATTTTCGACGAGCTAACTGAATCGAGTTCTGCACGACTCAATGAAACTACCTTCCAACTGAACGTGAGCAAGCAGTCGACTTCCTTGAAGAACACCTAAACGTTGTAAGCGAGTATTTGTGTGATGCGTAATTATGACCTTTGTTAAGCCTTAACACGACATCGAAATCAAATGCAGTTTGGCCAGATGGATCCAATCATATAGCACTGTTGAAATCAAACCACAACGACAATTGTTTACAAGGAAACTTCTCATGGAACTTATAGTAAAACAATAAGATCAACATAAGAGCGGTTCCGACGAAGCACTGATACGTTTGCGCACCTTATTGCGCACTATGATCGATTCCGATAAATTCAACAAACACCCGAAATAACAATCACATGGTACACACATTTCTAAAGAATATCAACAATGACTTATATTGAAGCAACAAATTCGAATGAACAATTCATCACTCTCATCAGAATCGTAATCAATAATCCAATCCAGTAATCGTTACTGTAACCGATTCTTACTACTGCTAGACACATATCTTACTTTTTTTTCTTCATTTCTGTTTTCAATATCGTTTCTGCTCACAATGGCGCATTATTCGTCATTTTTTTCCGATGGTATTGATGATTTAATGTTATATGTCAAAGCAATCGAAACACTTCGTTCTTCCGAAACATGTTTGATCTATGCCATTATTCAACCTATGGATATTATGCTGAACTCGCGATTTAAAAATTCCGTGTTGGGCTTCACATCAACACTGGCTTACTTCTCTTAAATGGAATCTCATCATTTAATTGGAGAAGAAAATTGGCATTGTTGAATACAGATTTTCATTGAAAATTCATCGACTGTCACCCAAACAGAATCAATTAGCAGCATTTTTTCATCAATTGTAATTCCTAAGAACCTTTTTCGTCGTAATTCATTATCTTCCGTTAAACAGATTCTACATATATGAACATCGCACAATTTTCTTCATCTAGCGTGGTCGCATCATATCTTCTTGCTTTCAATTTATTCGATTATTGTCTTTCTTTTATGACTCTCTTCATACAGGCATCTTTATTGTTTGTTCATTTTCTTTTTTTTTCTATTTTCTCTGTTTCTTCTTACCTTTAATGGTTGAATGTCTGTGGGCCCACATTTTCGTCGGTGGAGAGACATGCTACAAGCATATACAGTATATAACATCATACATTCCGTTCTTATCGATGCCTTTTTTGTTCTATTCATATTTTTGGATTCTTTTCTTTCTTTGCGGCATTGTTTTTTAGGTCAAGTCATTCAAAAAGAAGACGATCACATACAGTAATAAAAATATAGATACTCTAAAAAATGCCAGGCGAGATCTACAACACCTTAGACAGGATTAGGCGATCTGCGAAATAATCTGAGAAAGGGCCTGCGAAGAATCAACTAACGAAGTCGAAGCATCTGGATGAAGATACATTGGATTTGAGAAGAATCTCAAGAGCCTGCCATACATCTGAAATATATCAGGAACGATCTAAATAATTTCACGAAGGATTTGAAGAACTAAAGCTTTTGAAAATTTGAAGATAATGAAAAAACTGATACGCATGAAGGATCCTCACAATTCAAATGAATTCAACGAAGTAAAGGCATTGATGCATCCGAAGGGATTGCAGCAATGAGAGAAACTTCACGAAGTCGAGTAGTCGAAGAATCCTTAAGATGTTGTGAGTATGGTTGGCAGAGCGAGTACGACACTCGAAGATATAATAAGAGACAGAGGAACATCTGCACTTCAGATTACACTACCCATGCCCACAGCTATACTGACCTTGGAGAGAAAAACGTTGTACTCGATGATTCCAAGTCTCTGCGACATAGAGATGACCATGCCGATCGAAGGACAAACCGTTGGGATTGTTCAACTGATTCGCTTTTTTTCCTTGACCATTTCCACCCACAATTATAGTGCCCTGTTTTACTCCTTGAAGCCAACGCATCACTCGACTATTCCCATTGTCTACTACATAGATGGTACCCAACGCATCGATGAACAATCCTTTAGGAGACGTTAGTTGTGACAGTTTCTGTCCTTTTCCTTGGCTCCCAGCGACGATAATACCTTCTTTTGCACCTTTATTCCATTTCATTACACGATGATTATTGGTGTCTGACACGTAGACAGCTTGTTGTCGATCAACAAATAAATAACTCGGCTGGTTAAGTTGATTGAGACCATCACCTTCGCCATGACCACCGGCTACAATAGTTCCATTCTTGTTTCCTATATGATATCGTCTTACCTCATGTTTTATCTCGTCAGATATGTAGAGACATCTATGATCATCCAAGGCCAACCCGTAGCAATTGATGTCATCAAGGAGAATTTCTCCTTTAGTGGTCAAACTACGACGAGACCATCGTACTACACGATGGTTTCCTTGGTCACAGATAATAAGATTATCAGTCTCTTTGTCGATCAGCACATCGGTTGGTTGATCCAATTGATTCAATCGCTTTCCTTTACCATGACCACCAGCTGCTATTCGTCCATTTGTATCACCTAGCTTCCATTGGAGGATACGATGGTTCCATTGTTCAGCAATGAAGATCATTTGATCTCCATCAACGAAGAGACCGAGAGGGTTATCGAGTTGATCGGCGTCATTACCATGTCCATCGCTACCAGCAACAGTTATCCCCTGTCGTGCCCAACTGGCATTCATGGAAATATTAGGAATCACTACAATAAGTGAAATAGAAAAGAATAAATAATCATCGTTCTTCAGAAAAACTATGGAGCTTCGTTAGGAAGCAAATTTTTAAGAAACCCAAGCAGCTGAAGACACATACCAAACAATGAGGATGTGGGTGTCGTTGTGATAGTATGCCGGGAGGGAGGAGCAGCGGAAGTAGTGTCAATCTCATCTTCACCCACATCTAGCTCATCCGAGATTTTTGATGATTATCTCAATGCTAGTGCCAAGTGTAAACACATATAAACGAGACTTGATAGTTCTCCTTATTGGGCATAGATTTGAAAAAAATATTGTGCTTTTTATTTTGCTTTCAAAGATTAGATCGCTATATAGTTCAGTAATGCCTTACAGATAGTGCTAAATGCAATTAGTCTCGATTTCGCATGACTATAACTAGGACCAAATTTTGAAAATTTTGCGGAATCGGGACTCTGAAAAAATTTTTCATGATCAGAAGGAAAACTGCGCATTTGCTATTCTTCTCTGCCAGAGAACAAGCGATAATGACATTGATAGTGACAGCGAAATATAAGGATGCGACACTAAAAATTCAAAAGAAAATGTGTTTCACTTGAATCAAAATAGATTCTAGTGGGCCTAGTTGCTCTTAAGATCTGTGTAGTTATTAGAGATAGACACAATTTTGGATCTATTTTTGAAAATCACTCAAGTTCACTTAGTAAATTGTAATACGATATGTTTCTCAGAAGAGTTACTTTGATTAGATCATTTTGTTTGTACATATCACGAATTTTTGCAAGCAGAAAAGAATGAGGACACAAACTGAGCGCATTCTTTTAACAAGAATGAATAAAAATAGATAGATTTTAGGAAGAAAATCTTGTAAGCTGCTCAACCTTGCTAGGACAATAAAGATGATTGTGAATGGATCACTCGCAATTGAGTTGAGTTTACACATTGCTTACTGCGTTCTGTAAAGATTGTCGGTCTTGAGGTGTTTGATTTTTTAAATATCATACCAATTGTAGTCAGTGAATATACCACAATCCCGACCACAATAGCAAGAAGAAGAAGAATCATACATCCTAACACAAGTAATCGTGACCAATTATTTCGTGTTCCTCTATATGAATTATCTTGAACGAAATTTCTCCATGCTCGTAGAAATCTTGTTCCTAAAACAGATTTAATTTATATGTATTGTTTAACATTAAAGGGTGTATTTAGATTGACAATATCAATTACTTCATAGTTGAAAGCAAAATTTTCGTTGATGATACTATTTTAAAACTAGTGCTTCTCCTACTAAAAACCAGACAAGGTTTGAAGAATTATAGAAAAGTTTATGTTACAATTTGCTCGCCATGTAGGCTAATGCAGAGCTCTGAGAAAGGTTCGCGTCAAACTATATTAATCTGACCAGCTCTACCCAAAGATATTTTTGAATAGATCGACTCAATCATTTCATGAGTATCCAGACATAAGCTGAAAACTCGAACATGCACAAAGCTCAATTGTTCTTATGTAGTGTGAGAGTTTTGGATCCTTCAGTTGAAATTGCGAATTGTTACATGTGAAGTAAGGGCCTGTAGCGCATAGAAAAAAGAGCGAAATAAGCTCACAAACACTGTAGTACATACTATGACTTGCAGAAGCAAAAATGCTAGAATCATTCTAATAAAAGACACTTCCAGCAAATTTTTCACTAGCGACTAACATATTTATCTTTTTCATAACCTGCTTCAATAAATATAAATATGGAAAATATCTTCATGATAAACAGACATTTTTTTCTACATGTTTTATGGATCAGGTTTATTTGTTTCTGTAAGAGCACATATTTTTATGACTGAATCTGTGTTTTTCTTCTTGATTAGACTCTTCAATCATAAAACTACTTTTATTTGTTACAAGTTTTCAGAAGATTTCATAAGATTTAGTAATACGAAATCATCAGAGAATTTATGCAAATGATTTTCAAAGTTTATTCATAGATAGAGTTCGATGAGACTAGAACGAACGCATAATGATAGACTTGTAGTTGCTAATGTTTAAATGTTATATGTATGTTATCCTTTTTGTGGGCAACTGTTTCTTTTAAGCAATCTATTAAAGAGTTTCTATCTGAAATCCTATCCAAAGGTAAGTATCGAAGCTACTTAAGTTTCTTTTAAAATGTCAGATCATACAAGTGTCTATTTCAGCAGATATTGACTTCGTTAGACAGCTCACTTGCCAAGTTCATTAGATAAAGTTTATATTCTTTAAAAACCTAATAACGTATGAAATGACTAATCGTATTGACGGAAAATAGTATAGCCTTCAATTCATCATGATATGTAGATTTAATTGTCTGAGTTTTTTGACACTTACTTAGTGGCATTCGCTCTTTGAGATTCGCTAATTTTTGGCGCCATTGTACACTCTCTTCGTAGTCATTTTGCTGAGAGGCAATATCAGCAAGGTCTTCATACGCAGTGAGAAGTGATGGATTACTGTTTGAAAGTTCGCTCACCCAACGAATGTAGTACTTTTTAGCCAGATCAAATTTACCCATCTTCCATAACACTTTGCCAAATGTGCAGAGACTCGTTTCTCCGGTACCGTTTTGCTTCTTCATAGCTCTAAGAACTTGCTTCAAACTGTGTTCGTCATCACGAGATAAGGACATTCCAATGATCCAGATTTGATTGTCATCACGATTGATGGAATTAAGACGAAAGATTGAACCAAGCATAAAGAGTACCTCTGACTCGTCAGCAAATTTACTTAGCATGCTGATATCGGCAAATGGTTTTGTCGTGACTACTTTAGGATCAGCATCGATCTCAAATAGAACTCGTTCTAAATTCATGTGTTGAGCTCTATCACCCATATAGAAATCAGCTATTTGTCGTTGGCTACTAGTTGAAAGAAATGAATTTACAGAAACGAACTGACCGATACTTTTTTGAAGATAATCTAGCTCATCGCTTGACATCAACTGACTTCGATAAACTCGAATAGAACACTTAGATTGATAATGTTGCAACTGACGATGCATGTCGGAAATGAACGAACGATACAAGAAGATCATGTGAAAATTTTGCTTGCGTAAAGCCGCATTTAGGGTCTTATAGAAGAATGAATCACAAGTGTACCACCACAAAGCCTTGTCTGGTGAATAATTCTTTTCAAATTCACGAAGATTGGCGAGCTCGGTACGGTTGTTTTCATATTCTTTCTCGCAATAAGAGATAAGTTCCTTTTTATCCATCTCATTAGATTGTAATCGAAGAAGGCAGTCAATAAGTAGTTGAGAAAAAACAAATTGACCATTGATTCCTGTTGTTGACTTTCCAGTATCACTGGTTGCGAAGAGTATGTTGATCCACAATGGTTCTTCCATTTTGTTGTGACTTCTATAATCTTCAGTGATTTGAGATACCAGTTCGTCGGGTTCAGCAACAATGCCTTTCAACTAAAACGACGAAATGACATGACTGACACTTATCACAGCAATTTTACCTTTGTGAACTCGTACGCCCACTTTTCATCGCTCTCTTTGTCCTTGGAATAGATATAGATTGCTGAGATTTGTCGAAGTTGATGAATAGAAGGCAATATTTGCTGACCCAACTGACCATTAACAATGAGAACTAGTCTATCGTATGTTGATGTCTGTTTTATGTAGGTTTCGCACTCTTCTACATGATGAAATTCCTTGATATGATTAATAATGGTACGCAGTTTTTCTTGCGTATCTTGATTCGTTTGAATATCGATATTATCATCAAGCCAAATAAGTTTGAATATTTCAAGATGGCTACCATTGCTGTTGGTAAAAGACGTATCGTGCAGTGGAGCAGCTGTGGTCAACATTGTAGAAACAATAAAATCGCAGCTTTTCTAAAAATTAATCGTATGATATGTGCACCGAATGCAGTATGTTCTGGACATTCGAAAAAGAAAACACATCTCACTTTCTTCATTTATTAGTAGACTTAAATTGTTCTTTATTTCGATTTGAGTTAAAAGACTAAACAAAAGATATGCTTTTGTTGATTTAGAATGATTGTACAATCACAGTTTTTCCGTCAATGTCTATGGGACTCTCGCGTAAAAGGAAACTTTATTGTTATTTTCTCATTTCATGCATACCCATGGAAGATTTGTTAAAATATTTATAACCAATCCATATACTTGTATGTCTTACTCATCATACATAAGCGTGTGACAGCTCAGTTCCGTCCGCATATAACTGTATGCACTTTCTCATATTTTATTCTAGCAGATGAAAGTATCTCCTTGTCGTTCCTTGTACTCGAAAGCCATGGATTAGTATTGAGGGATTTCAACTTGTACATCAGCACAGAATTTATTTATGTGCTAAGACGCATGGTTACAAAAATTGAAAAAGAATTTTATGGCTAATGAGATCAATAAAACATTTGGCAATATTCGTGGATTGATAGGGCATGTATTCATGTGTAAAATATCTATTCTTTTATTCGAAATCTTCTCCCAGGCAGGATAATGCTAAGGGCATATCTTTGTGTGACCACTATACTAAAAAGTAGCACTAAGCTCAATTCTATCCATCAGATAACGCAAAGAAAATGAAAAACAGCTTATTTTGAGATTTTCTCTACTTTTACGGGTAAGACGTAATAAATCCATCACTATTTCGATGAAACAATGCTTTCCAATCGACTAGTAATCGATAATGGTGAACGACGGATGCAACAGAAAATGTCTTGCCGATCAATCTAAAATTTTTAAAAGCTTTTGTATTTTCTTGTTAGAAATCAAATACTTTTTACCATAGGCGGCGGACCCATTAGGCTTGGGGAGGCTCAAGCCTCCCCTAAAAAATGGAGAAGGCTTAGGGAGGCTCATTTAATTTGAAAAAAGTTGTAGATCTCATCTATAATGTAGACATTTTTACAAGTTTTGAGAAAAGTAGAATCAGAAGTAAATTATCAACAGACCACCTATTAGTACCAGATTTTTTTTGTTTTTAATTT